TTATCAATTACTATTATCAATCACTATTATCAATCATTATGATAACTTTTGCTTGTTAATCAATAATCCGATTATTCGTTAATTGATAATTTATCATCGTTAATCAATAATTTTATTATGTTTGTACAGATTAATCAGTAATTTGATTACCGATTACAAATTATTGATAAATTATTGTTTATGCTGTATTTTTATTGAAAAATAGTGAAATTGTTCATTGTCGAATAATCGATTAATAAAATCAAATTATTGAATATTGGGTGGCAAGTTATTGATTAACAGATGTAAACGAATTATAAATTATTGATTAAGGAATATAAACTTTTGGCAAATTGTTGTTTATGCAGCATTGTTGTTGAGAAATTGATGAAAAATAATTGCTAATGCAATTTTATTTTTTTTATAATAAATGTAGACAAACAATTGTTTATGCCATTGTATTGTAGATAAGTAATGAAATTATTGAATAACGAATACAAATTATCGATTAATGAGTCTAAACTATTAATGTAAACTGTTGATTAGATAAACCAATATTTGCCACAACTTATTAATAGTGACATGTTTTTTAGTTTTTTCTTTCTAGAATTGAGCCACATTTATATTTTTCAGTTTTTCACAGCGTTTTTTTCAGAAGGTTTGAAAATTTATAACCAATTTTAATTATTTAGTATTTCTGTTAGAAATAATAATAAGGATTGAAGAAATATTCATCTGAAAATCATTTTAGTTTATTAAAAATTTTGTTTTTTCCAACTGTCTTTTTCTAGCAAATTCATTAATTATTTAATTTAATAATATTTATCTTCCTAATTTACTGTTGATCACACTTTTTTCTCTTCTCTGAGTTAAATCCTATCTATCGAATACTGAAATTAAAATGAAATTAGACTTTTTTATGTTTAAAAGTGAAATCGATTATATCAGCTCAGCAATCAATCAATAATTCTGTACCAATAGCTGTGATGAGAGAGAGAGAGAGAAAAAAGAATACTTTTCTATTATTTTAGTTTGAAGTAATAAACTTGGAAATCACTTTAGTACTTTTCAGCAAAAATAATTATAAACGTAATTAGATGTGAAGTAATTAAATAAATGAAGGAAAGGAGAAGATAATATAAAGGTACGGAGAAAAAGAGTGAGAGAGAAAGAGAGAATGAAAGCGAAGCAGAGGAGGTAAAATTCATTAGCATTACGAAAAATTCGTTTAAGTTTGCAAAAAAAGCTGCGGTTTTATATTGCTACTTATTTAGTTTTCTTTCTTCTAGCTGAAAAGATTGTTTCATTAATATTTGTCTTTCATTCATTTTTAGTTGTAATTTTTAAAACTTAACTTTAAAATTATTTTAATTTCATATTGAAATCAGACCTCAAAAGAAAAACGAACTTAAATTTAAATTTATCATTATCGGTGTAGTGATTTTTGTCTTTTTGAATATGAAAGTATACATCAATTATTGTTCTCCAAAAAAACTGTACTTTAAAATTTTTAATTGCTTCCATTGCTGCTTAGCAGTAACTTTTAATATTTTAAATCATTACCATCATTACAATTTTAATTGATCATTTATAATTGCTTATATTAAACGTTCATGTTAATGTGAATATCATTTTATTTATTTTTCAACGATTTTTTGTTTTTTTTTTGATTTTTTTTTTAAACTATGTATTCATATCATTTTTCAAGAGTGCCTATGCAGAAATGATAATATTTCAAAATATTAAAAAAATTTTATTATAAATTAAAATTGAATATGTTTTGAAGAATATTAATTAGTAAGTAGTTATCGATTAAATTCCCATATTTCTATGCATACTTATCAGCAATTTTCCACTGTTTCCGTTACGGCGTTTCAACATCATCAAAATTTTTCACATTAAAACTTGAAGTTATTTCATTATTTTCCACTATTTAATTCGGAAATAGCAATATTTTTTTTAAAAAGTGGAAAATATAATGAAGAGAAGAATGAGGGGATTGCGGTACTTTCCCTTTTTTTTTTCTGATATCAAGCTTTCATATAATAATTAATTGAGTCTAATTTCAATAAAAAGAAAAAAGAAATCTTCTGTTACATTCCCATTAACATAATGATAATATCAAACGATATTTCAAACAACAATAATCCTTCCCATATATGCCCATTACTATGGAAGTGAACATCTGTTAATTCAATTCAACCTTTTTGTTTATAATGACAATGATGGTTATGATAATGATCGGAATGATGAGATGATAATGACTAATGACGATATTGAGATGATGATGATAGTGATGATAGGATGATTATGGTGATGATTAAAATAAGATGGTGTTAGGACATTTGATGATGATTTGAATCATGAAATTGGGATGATTATAATGGATTAGAATTATACATTATAAAATTATGACATCAAAAAAAAAAAACCATTATTGCATTAAATGTTCAACCGTTAATTCACTTTATCTTTTTTCGATTAATAATGATAATGATAGTGATATAAAGATTGTTTAAAACTATAAACGACTAATGAAAAATTAGGATGATAATGGTGATGATGATGTTTCCACCATTATTTCTATATTTTCTTTGGATACTAATAGAGATTTATTTATTTTTCGGTTTTGATAAAAATTCTTTCGTATCATTTTATTCGGTCTTTTGGGACAACTTCCACTAAGCATCAACTTAACGAAAAATAAAAAAAAAAAAACAGAAAAGGAAAAAATTATCTTTTACCATCACTTTTCTTTTCATCATCTCCTCTTTTTTTATTTATTTATGTATTTATTTTTATTTTCTATCTCTCTCTTTTCCACTTTTCTTTATATATCTTTGCTTTTGATTTTAATTAATTTTCCTTGAATGCCAAACTTTTTAAAACTTTTACGAATAGTAAAATGCTATCTGTATGTCATCAATGACAATCTCTTACTTATTTCAATTCCCAATCAAAACTTATCTTTATTTTAACATTCTCTTCTTTTTGCTATCCTGAAATTTTCCAAGAAGTGCTTTGATATTCCCGAGCGAATACTCTTCATGAATTCATACCGATGAAAATATACCGCCTCTTCTTCTTCATCTAATTTTTCCAACCATCATCATCTCCAGTGTTCCACTTTTCTATAGCTATTTAATCTTACTAACCAATTTCATTTCATCTTTTGTTACATGATAAAAATTATATAAACTTTATGCTTAAATTATTTAATTTTCAAATAATTCCAGACGATTAAAAAAAAGGTTGATAAAAATCATACAATTATCACACTTATTTTTTTAAATAGCTTTTAACTCTTAATAATCATTTGAATGAATTTGAATAATAAAATGAAATGTTATCATGAATTTTTTTTTTTTGTTTGCATTTTGTCAAAGTAAAAAAGTGAGGTAAAAGAAGAGGAAGTTAGCAAAAGTAAATAAAATATCGAAAAACATATAAAACGTATGTGAAAAGTTTTTGGAAAAATTTTTTTATAAGGAGAAAATTTTTTCCTTACCCTAAAATTTGAAACAAATGTATTAGGAAATTATTTATTATTTTATATGTTACGTTTTATATGCACAATAAGCATACATTGCTAAATTGCTAAATTTTTTTTTCGTTTGTCATTTATAATTTTTAACAAATTCCATACAATTGCAATAAAATTTAACAAATGTTTCTTTTCACATTCAATAAAAATTTCTAACTTTGTATTTTATTATATTTTTCCATTTTATATTTAAAAAATTGTTTCTTTCATATATGTATAAATTCTTTTTTTTCCTTTGCTTTTTCATTTTAAGATAGCAAATTTTTTGAATATTTCATTCGATGGTATAATCTTTTTTCCACTCAGTATTTCTTCCATTTTGCCAATGGCGTGTAAAATTCCGTAAAATAAATTAGATAAAAAAAATATTTGGCTTAGTTGAATAATGGTTATGCGGCAATGGATGTTACTTGGGAATAAGAAGCGTAAGCAACGACAAACACGTATGCGTACTAATGCTGCTGGGCGTTGGAAACAGCAACGTGTTCGTAAATTACGTGTGCAACATTTGCTAAAAGAATCATCATCATCATCATCATCGGCAGGCACGTAAATAATTTAGCTTGACAAAATGATTTCATTTCTTACATTTTTTTTTTCTGACATCGGAAATTCTATTCTTCTTTGCATCGAAAAAAAGGAAGAACTGGAAATGATAAAGAAAATTCGATAAATTTTTTTCTTCTTTTTTTCCTTCACTAACTTATAATTTCTAGTAAATGTAAAAGTAATGCAAAAATTCATTTGATAAAAATTTTTTTTTTCTGGATGTATTTTTCCTTTTAATTTTCAATATTTGATTAAGAAAATAATAAAAATTGGGTTGAAAATTTTTTTATTTTACAACAATTAATTCATGCTTTTTTTCTTTTTTTAAAGAAAAGAAGAACACATAAGAAATATGGAGAATTAATTTTTTTTTAGTCTATAAAAGAACATTATTGGACCGTTCGGATATTTTGAAAGGAAAATCGCTAGCATTTATGCAAAAAAATTTCAACAATTCAGCATCTAATGAAGGAGAGGAGAAAATTAATAATGACGACGAAGATAACAATAATAATAGCAATAATGGTGTATCAAATGCTGATTATTTTGATGCTATTGTTCATGCAATTATTCCAGGTCCCTTAGATATTCCAGCACTTTATCGTACTTATGCTATTTTACCATCATCTGATATGAGCAAAAACTTTACATCATTATCATCAATCAATACTGATAAACAAACATCTGTTATTAGTACAACAATTAAATATTCATCCATTTTAACTAGTAAAAATGCTGCTACAATTACAACTAATACTAATATAATTGCTACAACAATAATTCCAACTACAAATACACTAGCAATTGTTAAAATTACTAAAATTCCATCATTGGTTAGTGTTAAATATACAACAACAACAAATTGTACACTCTATAGTGGTATGTATTGGAATGTAACAACAACAGCAACAACAATTAATAATTGTAATTCTGATAATGGTAAGCAAATTAATTCTTTATTTATCTCATTATATTATGAGATTATAATTAATAATTAATTAATTCATATAGTTGAGTTTTTATATGCACGTATATGTGGAAATGTTTTTTTGCGCAATATTTTTAGTTTGAATCAATCTAAAATCTGGAACTCTTTTTAAATTGATTGGCAAATTTGTAAGTAAGATTTTTTATTTTTAATTTTATACACATTCATTTCAATTTATTTCATCAAATATTACAATGCATACTTTTTTTGAATTATTTTGCATGCTTTTTGTTTGATAGTATTTTTACTAATCAGTGACTGAAATTTAATTGAACGAATTACCACAATTAAAATTGTAGTAATTGTTAATTAATTAGATGAATTCAAAATTTTTATTTTTATTTTTAAAGAGAAAAATTAAAGCCATGCTGTATTTATTTGATGATTAGATTCTTTTTCTGGCAAAAATTTGTAAAATATATCTTT